TGGGGGATTCTAGGCAGGGGCTCTACCACTGAGCCACACCCCAGCCCCTCACTGGGGGTTTCTAGGCAGGGATTCTACTACTGAGTTCCCCTAGTCCTCTTTTTACTTATTTTAAGATAGGGTCCCACTAAGTGTCAGTTCTCGTCTGGAGCAGAGGGCTTGTGTACACTGTCCTCCAGGGTCTCCTAGGAGCCAAGACTTCAGGTCCTCATGAGTGGAGGTGGAGGGAAGGGAGTTGGGGGAGGTTCCCCTGCTGTCACTAGAGCCCTGTGACCATGCTTCCTGCTCCCTGGGAGACCTCAGGCCCAGACCCATTTCCTCCCTTGTTCCTCTGCAGCTGGACCGTGAAGGAGCAATGTGTGAACCTGCTGGCCAAGAAGCTTTGGGAAGAACTGCTGGATGATGAACAACCTGACATCACCATCATGGACTGGTGAGCCCTGCCCACCTGACTGGCTGCCCCGCCCACCTGACTGCCTGATCATGGCTGTCCCAGGCTCCCCAGAATTCAGGCTTTCCTGTCCCCTTGATGTGTGATCCCTCCGGGTCCTGCCTCCTCTGGCCCTCTGTTACAGCCTTTGTATCTTTCAGGAGTCGATTGGCTGGGGTCCCTCTGGCCCAGGCTGTTCCTTTATCCCCTGAAGACTGTGCCCCTCTGTGATTCCAAGATTCCTTCTCTTCTTATTAAGGGGTAGTTTCACACAGCTCCACCTGGACGCCTACCCCAGTCATACGAAGGGGCCATCCGCCTTTGCTCCAATGCCCTGCGTTCCCCACCCCATCCCTAGCCTCCACTACACCCTCATCTGGCTCTTCCCCCTGCCTGTACCCTATTTCACCTTTGATTTCTGCCTGCCCCTCCCATCTACATGTGTAGTGTCAGTTTTGGTGACATATCTACTCCCCCACTGGAGCGGGCATGGGGTTGGATCTGGAGAGCTGTGTGTCGGGACCCAGGACCAGGGCTTGGGGCTAAGATGACGGGAGAGCTGCACTGGTGGTGAAAGCCTGACCCTCCTCCAGGTTCGAGGACAGCCGCCTGGACCAGTGTGTTTATGAGCTGCATGTCTGGTTGCTAGCAGCTGACCGCCGCACTGTCATTGCCCAGCACCACGTGGCCCCTCGGACCAATGGGAGAGGTCCCCCTGGCCGTTGGGTTCAGGTGAGATGCCTTGTCAGGTCCTGCCCACACAGGTGTTCTTTCCCAAGACCTTGGGCAGAGGGAGGAGGGACTGCATGCTGTGGCCACCCTGCTGAGACTTTCTTCCTAACCCTGGGCTGCCACAGGTGTCCCACGTTTTCCGCCAATACGGTCCTGGAGTGCGCTATGTCCACTTCCAGCACAAGGCCAAGAACCGCATGGAGGCTGGTGGGCTGCGGAGGACAAGGGTGACCGACTCCTCAGTGTCTGTGCAGCTCCGGGAGTGACTACTGACTGTCTATCATGACCCTTTGGAAGTCCCTGGTGTTTGTCACCTCTGAGCCCTTAGCATTTCCATGATACTACTGCTTCCTGCCCCTCCCTATGTGTGTACTTAGCCAAAATCTGACCCGTGCTCACCCCTGATCCCTCCTTACCTCCCTGACCCCTCTTCACCCCAACTCTATTCACCCCTGATCCCTCCATACCCCCTGACCCCTCTCCTCACCCCCGCTCCCTCCTAACCCGACTCCTCCCCTCCCCTCTCTGACCTTTCTTTATCTCCTTGGCCCCTCCTCACCTCCCTGACCCCTTCTCATCCTTTGTACCCTTGCTCCCCTCCCTGATGCTCAACCCTTGTCTCCTTCACCCTGTGGGCCTACCTCGCTCCCTCCCCTCCCCTGACTCTACCACTAACAATTTCTCTAACAAGGTCTCTCAGATCTTGCTCAACCCCAGGATCTCTCTGATGTCTCCACATGCCCTGAATGTGTCGCTGAGCTGAGGTTGCTCCTTGCAAACCCACTGTCATTCTCCTAGCAGGCGTTCAATAAACCTTCCCTGAGTGACTCTAAGAACACACACGTGCTCAGAGAGACTGAGTACCTGCCCGGTCTTCACTCCTTAGAGCCTCCCTGGGTCCACGGCTCACCGCTCAACAGATCCTTGACCTCTGGGCACTTCTCTGACCTCTGGAATGTTGACAGTGAACTCTGACCTCTTCTGCAGGCTTAGACTCGACCTCAGGTTCTCTGTGTGTTCTGGATGGGTTCTCTACCACCGAAATACATCCCGAGAGCTCTTTTTACGTATTGAGATTCTGAGACAGGGTCTAGCTAAGGGGCTCAAACTGGTTTCAATTTTCAGTCCTCTGCCTCAGTCTCTTGAGTAGCTGAGGCTAAGGTCTGCAGCACAGGGCCTAGCATGACCTCTGTTTTCTTTCTGCCTTTATGGGTCTTGGGGATTGAACTCAGTTCATCAGGATTGGTAACAAACCCCTTTACCTGCTGATCCATCTCATAGCCTGACAGCCTATCATTTTCTATCCCGCAGTGTGTGCTCCTGAAGTATTCCACTTCCCCATTCTCCCTCATCTCTTAACTCTTAGACTCTCCCCAAATCTGAGACCTGTCTCCAGATCCCCCTAGATTTCATTTTGGCAGAGTTGTTCCCATATATCTCTGTCCAGGATACTGTGTACCTAGAAGCCCAGAGTCACCCAAACCAGACAGCCATTAAGAGCCCTCATGCATGGGGCAAAGGTGAAGCAGAGATCACAACCTGAACAGAAACAAAAAATTGAACTAAAGTGTCTCCCATGTGTCAGACAGGGAACATTAACTGTAATTAACAACCCAGAGTCAAGCCTGTAATCTCAGCAACTACGGAGTTAGAAGACAGTCTGGGCAATTTAGTGAGACCCTGCCACAAATTAAAAGTAAAGAGAGGACTAGGGGCATTGCTCAGTGGTAGAGCCTCTGCCTAGAATCCCCCAGTGAGGGGCTGGGAGTGTGGCTCAGTGGTCGAGCCCCTGGTACCATGTACAAAGCCTTGGGTTTCATCCCCAGCATCTAAATAAATACAGACAAAATGACAATAACAACAGGAACAGAAATCAAAGACGACCACATCACCTACCACACCATGGCTCTAGCCTGGCATAAGGTCCTAGAATGACCCCTGAATGTTGAGGGTCTGTAAGTTCTCCGAGAGTTTGAGGGATATTCACCTGAAGCAAAGAGTGTTTAAATATAGACAGTAGATAGCATTGCCCTCCCTTGCCACTTGGGTGTCTTTGTTCAACCCTAACCCCAGGTCAGAATCTAAGGCTGTGTCTCAAGGCTGACCCAGACCTGATCATTCTGTTCTCCCCTATTCATCCAGGCCTGGGTGGATTTGGATCTCAAATACAAGCAGATGGCACATGGAGTAACTTCTCAAGGCTGTATTACAGGGCAGCTGTGAAGTCAGGCAGCAGGGCCACCTGGTCTCCTGGCTCTTGGGGCCACAGCAATCCCCAAGGTCAGGCAGGGCCGGCTCAGCGCTCTGGGAATTGGAGATCACAGGCCTTGGAGGCCTCAAGAGCACCTGTAACAGAAACAGGGGTTCTCAGCAGGGGGTCCCAGGCACAGAGCTGCCCCACGGTGGAAGGGGAGGGGCTTCAAGGCTCGTAGCTCAGGAGCTTGGGGGTCTGGCCTGGGAGGGTTTGGGGGCTGCTTTGGAATGGTTCTACAGTGAGATAAAGGATACCTGAGGTCTATGGGTTTTGGGGATGATTGCTGAACTTGGGGATCCCCAAGAGTGGGTCTTGGAGGTCTGGAAATGGTTTCTGGGTTTGAGGCTGATCTAGATGAGGGGGGGTGGTGTTGGGGGTGGACGTCTAGGCTAGATTGAGTCTTCGAAACTTGGGCCTGGGGTCTTGAGGTCTAAGAGGATTCTGAAAATTACTTTCAAATGCAATGAGGACAGGTGAGTTTGAATCTAGAACCCGGAAGAAACTAATGAGCTCCTCATTCTCAGGTCAGGAAATCTCACACAGGTGCAGAATAGAGTGCACTACCAAGCGTCTAAGTGGGGTGGAGTGCAGCTTCCTAGTCTGGGGAGCCTAGAGTTTGTCTGAGAGACTCAGGGGCCGGGGGCCGTAGTTGGAAGATAAGAGGCCCACCAGTCTAGGGGCACACCCAGAGATAGGGCCTCCAGAACAGTTTCTAGAGGAAATCTACCTTTCTTAATATTAGTCGGGGGGTGGGGGCGGGGGGCGGGGTGTCTCTGGATTCTGGGTGAGCCTTGGGCTTGGGTGGTGGGGCTGAGTAGGGGGTTCGGAGTGTTGAGGTCCCAGGACTCACTTGCAGTAGAGGCCAGAGATGGCGTTGGACCAGTCTCCGAAGAGGCCTCTGCGGTACTCTTCCAGGCGGGGGTAGCTGCCCGCAGAGAACTTGCGCGACTTGCCTTGCTTGCCAGGCTGAGACCACACAGTGAGCTCGCAGCGCTGGCCCACTACCAGAGATGATGCCTTGTTGTTCCAGTCCGAGGGCAGATAGGGCAGGTCGGTTTCCGGCTCCAGGGACAGCTCTGCCCCCTGGCAGCAATTGTCATAGTAGGCATCACTCTTGTCATAGATCTTGGCGCACGTGCGCGTCCCGTCTTCCAGCTTCAGGCTTGCGGGCACCGGGCAGGCGCCGCGGGCACCTGGGATGGCCACCAGGGCCAGAGCCAGCAACAACGGGCACAGCAGGGACATGGCGACAATGGGCCACGAGAGATCTGCGGTGCATTTATGCATCTGACCCGTGGGAAGAGAGAAGCTGCGAGCGTCTGTGGAGGAAAGAGGACACGCCCCCTGCCTTAGGAGCCAGAGACCTCGCTGGTCGGCATGGAAAACCCCACAACCCTGAATAATAAACACAAGGTGGAAGTGAGACCCTAATATCTCAGAGTCTGACTAGTCAAACACCATTATAAAAACAGTCATGGGGCTGGAGATGCGGCTGGGAGGGCTTGCCTAGCACCTAGGAAGCCTTGGGTTTGATCCTTTCTATCTTCACAGAGCTGCTGCAGTGGTGTGGGCACTGGGGGGTAGGAGCAGCGGGATCAGGAGTTCAGGGTCATCCTGGGTTGCAAAGCGAATTGGAGGCTACCCTGGGATGTAACCCAGATCCTGGGTAAGTAGCAGAGATAGAGATAGATACATGGATAGATAGATAGATAGATAGATAGATAGATAGATAGATAGATAGAGATAGGTAGATAGGAAGAACGGAGATGACTCGGAGGTTCAGAACCTTGAAGAGGACCCTGAAACGAGATTCATCACTCCCGGCCTCTAGGACTCACCCTGCACTCACAATCACACATTCCCTCAGAGACACACATGCATACATGTAATTAAAAATAAATATTTTGAAATGGGAAATGTGAGGGCTGGAGAGATGGCTCAGCAGGGAAACCTGAGTTTGGAGTCCCTACCACCCATGGAAAAAGTCTAATGCAATCCCAGCATGGCAGAAGGCAGAGACAGGAGGATGGCTGGGGTTTACTGACTGGCACCCTAGCTCCAGGTTCAGAGAGAGACCCTGTCTCCAGAATAAGTTGGTGATAGAGCAGGGATAATTCGTGTCCTCTGGTCTCTGTGTACACATGCACACTGATGTATACACTCCACCCGTGTGTGCATATACCACAGACATACACACAGGAGAGAAGTGGGGGGGGGGGGAGGCTGCTGAAAACGGCGCCGCAGACCTCTAACTCCAACACCAAGGAGTGAGAGCTCCGGGCCAACCTGGGCTACAGACTGGATGAAGAAGTCAAGGGGCTTGGCATGTTTACTAAAAGAATAATACAGCTAATTGAAAAGGGCTCTCAGCCTTGCACAGGAATTGTTGAACTGGATAGATGTGTTCTCGAAACACTTTGCAAGTTTCTGCATGGTGTGGTCGGGTTGCCACACTCTGGCTGTAGCTGGCATAAAAGCAGAAATGAGCCTCCTCTTCCTCAGTCCTGCATCCAGGCCAGAGCGCAGGCCTGAGGAGAGGGAGAGGGCAGGGCCTCCCACCCTCACCTTATACTTCAAGAGCTGGAGATCAGGAGTGTGGTTCTGGGTGTGGAACCCACAGCCTCAGGGAGGCCACACTCCAGCCATGCTGGGAGGCTTTCCTTTCTTCCTCCTCCTTTTAGTTTTCTAAAGTGGGATCTCATATACAGCTGGCCTTAAACTTACAGCCATCTTCCTGCCTCCGCCTCCCCAGTGCTGCATCACAGATACACACCACCACGCAGCACAGTTTGCTCACCTGTGAAATGGGTCGTATTGTTTTCTACACTGTCACACTGTAAAGATGACAGTGGATGATTGACAGTGTGTCTTAGAGCCCGAGATGGAAGCCAGCAAGGGAGGGCGAGCCTAGCCTGCGAGGGGAGCTCCTCTCTCGCACCACCAAGTATGAAAAGAAAATCTGGGGTCTGGGAAGGTGGTTCTGTCATGAGGACCTGAGTTCAGATCCCAGCACCAATGTAAAAAGCCAGGTGTGAAAGTGCAGCTGTGACCCAGCGCTGGGGAAGCAGATGGGCGGAGCCCAGGGCTCTCAGGAGGCGCTGCACTGGTCATCTCCAGGGGCCAGAAAGACCCTGTCTCAAGAGTGAATGGACAGGGCTGGAAGAAGTTAAGAGCACTGGCTGCTCTTCCAGAGGACCTGGGTTCAAGTCCCAGCCCCCCACCTGATGGGTTACAGCTGCCTGTAACTCTGGTTGCATCGGACCCAACACCCTTTTCTGGTTTTCATGGGCAACAGATACACATGTGGTGCACTTACACACATAGACCAAAATGATTTCGACTTCTTCAAACTAGAAGTGGAGAGCTGAGAGGGGTGGCACATGCCTTTAATCCCAGCATGCAGGAGGCAGGGACAGGCGGGTCTCTGTGAGTTCAAGGCCAACCTGGTCTGTGGAGTATGTTCCAGGACAGTCAGGGCTACACAGAGTAACCCTGTCTCAGGGAGGGGGGAGGAAAGAGTGACTGAGAAAGGCACCTGATGTTGCCCTCATGTCTTTACATGTACATATGCAAGTGTTGCAAACACGTGAACACACACACACACACATCAAATAACCATAAACATACACACAAAACAAAGTACGGAGGCTGCCAAGATGGTCCCGTGGGTAAAGGTGCTTGTCACGCAGTCTTGACAACCTGAGTTCGGTACCTGTAGCTACATAGAAGCGGGAGGAGAAAACCACCTCCACAATTCCTGTGACCTCTGTGCACACACACTCAACCATCATGCACACAGTATTAATAAATATAACTTAAAACTAAAGCATCTAGTAGGAATTGCCTGGGGAGTCAGATCACCCGGGGGCCAAACCCCAACTCCTTCATGGCCCTGCCCCTCACAGTAATGGGATCTGTTTCACAGTGCTAGTGCAAAGAATAAGTGTGAGAGTCCCACGAGAGCAACAGGAGTAGCTGCTTTATTCTCCTGTGCCTGCCTCCCAAGTACTGAGATGATACGCACACGCCACTGTGACCCCTGTCCTCACGCTTGTAAGGCAAACATTTTACCCACTGAGCCACCCCTGCAGCCTGGAGCTTAAACCAGGGCTCGGCCGAATGCTTGCTGGGTGACTTTGGGCAGGTGCACTTATCTTTCTGAGCTTTGGTTTCTTCTTGTCCCCAGTGGGAACACTGATGATAAGACTAATCAATAATGGCATTTATGATGAACCTAACTGACTATAAACAATCCACGTCATTGATATTTATAAATATACTGCAAATACCTAATAGAAAATACCAGGTAAGCATGAAATTGTGTATATAAAAGTGCAGAACCTAAAGCCTGGAAGCTTCTGGGTCAGCTGGAGTGTCACCACTATCCTCGGCAAGATCCTGAGACCTTCACCCTGCCCCAGATCAGCTCCAGCTCTTTGTCCCTCTTTCCAGTCTTGTGATTCATGAAATCTAATCTCCAGCTGCTACCTTCCCAGAAAGCTTCCTGGACTTCAGGGTCAGTGAGGCCCAACTATACCATAGATACCAAAGTGTGGTACCATCACCTACAGCTGCATACGACCAGGAGAGTCCAAGGAAGTAGGAGACTGCTTGTTTGTTCCCGGCTGCTCAGCCCAGAAATAACCACACAGAAACTGTATTAATTAAATCACTGCTTGGCCTATTAGCTCTAGCTTCTCATTGGCTAGCTTTTACATCTTAATTTATCTCATTTCTATTAATCTGTGTACTGCCACGTGGCTGTGACTTACCGGCAAGGTTCTCTCTGGCGTCTGTTTCTGACAGTTACATGGCTTATCTTCACTCTGCCTACTTTCTCCCAGCATTCAGTTTAGTTTCCCCACCTAGCTCTCTTCTGTCCTATCACAGGCCAAAACAGATTCTTTATTCATTAACCAATAAAAGCATCACATATACAGAAGGACATCCCCCACCAGAAAGAGATAAAAATGTGATTCACACCACACACCATTATCATAGAAAGTACAGAACAGGACATGGGCATAGCACCCCCACCCAACACACATGTAGGTAGAGGAACAGACACTGGTCATCTAGTCTCTGGTGATTTTGCTATTTTGTTTTTGTGATGTATAGGGTCACAGATGTATTAGGCAAACACTCTACCACTGAGCCACACCCCAGCTCCTCACTGGGGATTCTAGGCAGGGACTCTACCACTGAGCCACACCCCAGCCCCTCACTGGGGGATTCTAGGCAGGGGCTCTACCACTGAGCCACACCCCAGCCCCTCACTGGGAATCTAGGCAGGGGCTCTACCACTGAGTCATGACCCCACTCCAGCCCCTCACCAGGGGATTCTAAGGCCACTCAGAGTGTAGTGTGCAAACATAGGTTTAATACACAGTCCTAGAGATAAACAGCCACCAACCTCCTGATTCCCGTGCAATCAGGGCACTATGACCTGCAAGGTCCACTCCTTGCTCACTCCAGACTCACATTCCACAAAATATCAGGCCTGCAAATCCCCAAGTCCACATCGTACTGGTTCGTGTACGCACATGCTCAGTATCTCCACTCGGGAACCATTCTCCTCACCATGCTCCTCACCGCGTGTTCACAGACACTAGCAAAGGGTAGAAGAATAAACATCTTTTCACACGACGTCTCCCCAAGGAAAAATGCAAGAATGCCTTGCCCTTGAGGAATCTGTGAGCCTCCTAGAGAGCCAGACAGCAAATCGGTAACTCAGACACTGTGAGAAGGGTTCTAACAAGCACGTCGCGAAGGATTCTGGGAATGCAGTGACAAGAAAGGTTGGCTTTCTTCTTTTTTGCTTTTTTAAATTTCCAGTGATACGTTTTGATTAATAAAAGAATTCCTCTTTTTAGATCTCGCAACCTTGACTTGACATTTTTGCAGCAGCCCAAAAAAAAAAAAAAAGGAGATTGCTGCTCATGTGAAATCACCCCTGGGAGAAAAAGGAATATGTCTTGTTCAGAGTAATCACCATACATGAATACCATTATGGATGACACTGTGTTTGAATGAGAAAGCTGGTCCGGAGAGATGGCTCGATGAGTGGCAAGTCCGAGGACTTGAGTCAAATTCTTGGAACCCACTTATGGCAGAAGGAGAGAACCAACAACTCACCTACAAAGTTTTACAATGTAAATATGAAGCTGGTCATGGTGGCGCATGCCTTTAATCCCAGCACACACGGGAAGGCAGAGGCAGGCTGATCTCTGTGAGTTCCAGGCCAGCCGGGTCTGCAGCGTGAGTTTCA